AGAAGCCTTGCGAGTGCTCTCTCCACGAGCGCATATTCTTTCTGCACGGAGGACTGCAGGTTAGCAAACTCGAACTCCTGGAGCCAGCGGAGCCACTGGGTGAGGAAGCGCACGGAACCCGCGTCGATGAACAGGTTGCGGTACGCGACGAGGTGCGGGAAGCGCGCGATGGAGTGGGCAAGGAGCTCCGCGTCCTGGTCCGTGAGGCTCATCTGGAAGGACGCGACCATGCGCGAGAGCACCTTGGAGTCCATTAGCTCGGGATTGCCGAAGATGTAGCTGATCTCGCGTGAATGCGAGTCGACGAGCGGTGCGGCGTACGCACGCATGTTGTACTCTGTACGCTGGATCGGGCCGCGAGCGGGATAGGCCAGAGAGGGTGGAATCTCGATGCCGCAATAGGAGATCATGCGCAGGAGCGTGCGGTAGCCCTTGACGAGCGGGTATGTGATCTTCCAGGACGTGTAGATCGACCTGCGAAGGAACTCCCACGTCCACGTCGTAGGATCGACCGACGTCCTGTATGGGCAAGTGGACGAGAGGTGTGAGAGGACGTAGGTACCGATGTAGATACCGACCGTCAGTCCGATGAGCACCGTCGCGACGATGGCGACGGTCGTGTTTGTCGCCCAGAGAAAGTCGATGAGGCCAGCAAAGAAAAGGAGAAGCGACATGTGGAGGAGGAGTGGTAGACACTCGAGTGTGGAGGAGAGATTCCACGCGCGTGCGTTGTCGTACCGGTACTGGAATTGCCGCCCGCGACCCTCGACCGACGGATGCAGGTCCCCATCGAGGCTCGCGAGCCATTGCCTCGCGAGGATGGTGAGGAAGGCGACGGACACGCTGACGACGAGGCTTGCGAACCAGAAAGTGTTCACGCGGACGGCGTAGTCCTTTGGGATGAACGCGCTGTTTGATGATGCGACGAGCCTTGTTGAGGCTTGCACCGGCTGAAGGGTTCCGTTCGTATTGAGCGAAGCGACGAGTTGCTCCAGGAGGTCCACAGTGGCTTGACCAGAGTCAGGGCGAAGGCTCGGATATGAGAGAACTACGAATGCGGTGACGACGGCAGAGAAAAGGGTGGCCTGCACATGTAGCTCAGTCGCACGAAGAACCACATATAGCCAGACGGGAGCACGCACGAAGAGGAGGAGCGAGTCCATCTCCTTGTTCCATTTTTCAACGAACTCTGCGCGCCACCGCGATGCTTGGTCGTTGTAGACCTGCCATACATTATGTCGTATGTCCGACTTAAGAGTATATTCAGCCTGGTGAGGCACTAGACGCAAGAGGACACAACTCACATTCGTGGGGAGATCAGCCTCCTCTGGAAGCTATTTGTAAGTGACATATGTTCGATTAGTATGCATCGGCACACAGAGAACGGATTGGGTCACCGTTGACTGGTGTAGCATGTCAGGTCGCCGAGGAGGGGGAGTACGAGAGGGCGACATCCTTATGGGCAACCCCTATGAAAAATGTTACTTGAGCACCACGTCGATCACCGGGTTACATGCCTCTATGAGGGGAACGGGAGATAGGCGAGATCGGTTGAAGGCTGACATTGAGTCCTAAGAGGAAGGCATTCAATGTAAGTCGTGTTCATCAACGAAGCATCCTGAAGGGCACAATCGTCACTCACCGGGCAAGCTACGATACGTTCGAAAGATATACGCGGGCTCGCTCGAACGCAGCGTTATTGTTATAAGGTCCTCATGAAGGCATCAGCGCGCGAGCCACACAGACTAATCACTGTCATGCCGACAGCCACAGCGAGCGATACGTCGTGTGAGTGTGGGCAGCGCGTCACCTCCATCCAGCCATTCAGATTCTGGGTTTCCTGGTCTTGATGCATGGAAGACTGTCATCCAACCGCGCGTTCGCTGCCTAGGCCGGGAGTCAGTTTCTGAACGAGATCTGAAGATGCAGCTTTTAGTCGATGGTCCTACATAGCGTCGTGGTGCAATACAGTTGCTTGTTCTTAGCCGACTTCGACATCGCGCACCACACCCAGTGAACGAACATCATGCAGTAGGCAGCGTTGAACGAGTCCAACTCGAGTACACACGCGCCCAAGACTAAGATTATGGCCTGGGATAATCCGCGGGGTTAGGCACGCTTCGGGTTAAGCCGGGGATGGCACAGAGAGACCCTGTTCAGACGTTCACGTACGTGTTATCTTTCGCCGGCCGAGCCCTCCGCGTTTGGCGGAAGATAAAGATGCAAATGTGTGGCACAACGATATTCAGTGAACATACCATGCATCAGTCAGCCGCGGTCAAGCACGGAAGGTTCTCTGGTGAATCTGTTCAGTCTGAAGACCGCCGCGGACTCATAGACAAGTGGACAATATCACTTACCACGTAGACGTTCAATACCATCCAGTGCAATGGAACGAAGCAATAGCCGCCATCCGCAACATGACGCGATGTGGATGTGACTGGGCTGGCTGTGCGACCGGAGTGGGACGACTCGACGATCCTGTGCAAGAATCTCATACTCTTGTGTCCTACTGTATATTGTGGGTGACCGTCCTCCCAAGGATCAAAAGTAAGGGTGAGCGAGCTTACTGTAGCGTCATACGCATGAACGTCGTGGGTGCGAGAGGTGCAGTGAAGACCGAGGTGGTATTTGGGTGGCGACATCAGGCCATGACCATGACCAAGCACACTAGTAGGCGCCCCGAGCCTAAAGAGGTGCGTCGGCGTTGCCAATCATCGAGTCAGGTTACAACTCACTGGGTTAGTGATGTCAGTCGGAACATCACCGCGCATTGCTAGCATATACGATCGAGTCGCAGTACGCCGTCAACCCGAAACGGCATATTCCCTACGGTTTGCTGCTTTGTTGTACCAGGAGGAGGAGGAGGAGGGGGGTCCATTTAGTCATCGGCCGGGACCGCGGTAGCGCCCAGCGGCGTCCTCACGATGACAGAGTCAGGAAGCTCGGCTCAGAACGTGTGATAGTGGCCCGACAGATGCAGCACTTCAATGCCTACGTCAATCATGCGCTGTTCCTGCGGCCCAGAGGGAGACGTTGCCTGAGTCGAACCACCAAGGAATCGACTGGGTTTGCGAGCTGAACAAGATACAGGCGAGGAGGCTGACAGATTTTGATGACAGGATGATATCGACCTATGGCATAGTTCAGGCGCGATACTTGATAGGCCGTAAGGATGCCGTAACGTACACTTACCTGCGTGGCGGAGTAGTCGTTCGTCAGTTTCTGCAAGCAAACACGGGCTGGAAACGGATTCTTGCCTCCGGGACGGTCAATGAGGAAGCAAGCTCGAATGCCACATTCACTTCATGTACCGCACCTAGCCGTTCTCACATCCAGACTGTCGAGTTGGTTCCCTGCCGCGATGGCGGGATCAGCATCATCATGCAGTCTGGCATAATTGAGACTGGTTTGTCCTCGTCAGCGAGAGTGAGGCATAGCAATCCATCGGTGTGACTCACCTAGGAAAGGCTGACTTAGTGCCCGGATTCTGCGTCGGAGCGAAGACAAGAATAAACCAGCACCAATACTCATTCATGGATGGTTCGACGACGGTACGGGCTTGGTTGTTGAACCAAAAGCCGGGAGCGCAGTAGATCACCCAAGCTTAAGGTCTTGCAAATTCTTCATTCCGGACTACGTCCTTGTCAAAGGTATTTGTTCAACGCTTCAAGTTTCCGTTTGTGCGACAGAGCCTACACCATGGTGACGACGCAAGAGATGCGCCAGCAGAGGAGTTCTTGGCGTCGATACTGGTGGCACTCCGTATACGGCGAGTTCATCTGTACGATTCGTGGTTATATTGAGTGCAGCGCGCATCTTCGCGTGTTCAAATCTAAGTAGAGAAGTGGAGGAAGAGGTTTGAGTACAAATTGGAGACGCGCACCGGTTTGAACTTGAGCGCTTGGGCGACTATTACGTAATACAGAGAGCCGCAAATCTACTTTGTCAGTTTGGTCTCACTGGTACGTAGTCAGTACCTACATAACGGTCCACATCAGACATTATCTGAAGCATCGGAGGCAAACGATGGTGCAGGTATGTGTGCGTTTCCGCCGCTCTCGGCCCAACGTTCGTTATAGTACTAGTAATAGGATGCAGTATCACCAAGCGTTTCATCGGCCACGCCATTGGACAAACCTTCAGGCTGCGCAGGCGCACTGGCATTCAATAGGCGCGAGTGTCGGCGTCGCCATTGCGCTCTATTGAACTGGCATGCACGACGGGTGCTCGCTTCGTAATGGAGAAGCGCACATTCAAGACGTTCAGTGACAGGGTCAGTGGCGGCAACTGAAGGTGGCGCGTTAGCGTCAAGCAGAGCATGCTGACGCGGTCATGCCCGGGTACCTGGCACCCTTATTTTCCTGATACCGAAGGACAGTGCGGTGAGCACATCGGTGGTGTTTGCATTTACTGCATCCCGGTATGAGAACTGACGCGAAGGGGTGGCACCAGGAGAACACCGCCGCCGTTCTGGTGGTCTGCGCAAAACGGTCCTAAGGTCGAGTGGCGACAACGTGGCCGCGACAGAACACACTGCGTCGTCCATCGAGCCATCTGCATAGCAGTGTGCTGACAATGGGTCCGGCCTTGCTGTCGCCGCAAGCGCGAGCGTAGCGCAGTCGCGAAAGTGAATGACGTACCAACGTAGCAACCCGTTCTAGTGACTTACGAGAGGTGACCAACCCATTGGCAAGTATGAAAGTTGAACATATCCGAGCTAGGTGTCCATGAAGAGGCCTGCTGAAACCGGGGGTTCTGCGATCCTGTTGTGGATTTGGTACATAACTTCATGAGCGTCACGAATGCGAATTGTATAACATCATCACCGTTTGTCTGAGTAACCTTCTAACCATCTCTATAGACCCGGATTCAAACGATTCCATGATCATCCACTCATTCCTGTTCTCCTCCCCTCGATGTGTCCTGTGGCAGCTCTATTGACTAGTAGTTGGTCATATTCCGCACCATGGGCAGGAAACGATTTCCTGATCATCCGGCTAATTTGCTACCACCGAGCCCAGCGCTCCCTCAGCTTCGTAATGAAGCCCCTTCCGCTGTAAAGAAGCAAGGTAGCTGGTACGCATTTGTTGCTTGGAAGGATCCCGAAGACAAGACAATAGCCTGGCAGCATATTGGGCAGAGTCGGAAAGCTGCCCCGAATCGGCCATTCCCCACGCATGCGCTCGTGCAGACATTTTCAAGCCCGCCATCATGGTCAGGACGGTCCTGACCGTCTCCGGCGGATTTGCGATAGCTGATGCAGATTCAAGAACCTGGTCCATCGCCTCCGCGACCCGTACAGGTGAATAGTCGTCGAAGACGAAGCTATCTGCTGTGATAATGATCTCTTGGCCACAGTCGAGCAAAGCAAATTTGCATGCCGCGCTGTATGCAACACCGTATACTTGTTCCCAGTCCTTCAAGTTGCCTTCGCTTCTAATGGTGCATATGTCTTGCAGGAGATTGCGCGTTTGAGTAGTGGTATGTTGATAGATACCGCCTCGGATAACAATTCCGCCAGGCGAGGAATAGGAGTGCCTGATGCAACCTGATATGCGAACGATGCGTCTGAGCATACGGAGCAGATCGACTGGTGACCAGATGGTGGAATTCAAGGTTGCAACAGCACCCGCTAGCTGTGGCCCAGGAGTAAAGATCATGGCTGAGCTGAGTTCCCGAAGGAAGGTAGGATAATTGGTTACGAGATCCTCGAGTAGTTCTTTGCGAAACTTTGGATCTTCGTCCAATTCGACCGTTGCATGTCCTAATTGTGTTTCGTATAGGATGTTCTCGAGCAGCGCGAGCATCAGGTGAAGTATAGAACTTGAAGGTTGCCAACCGCCGATGTGCCCAGACGTGAACGTGAAGATCGGTAGGAGCTTTTGCTTAGTCAAGTCGGAGACTGAGCCCCGTAGCTGGGTAATGAGGAGGTGGAAGTCGACAAGGTTGGGAATGCGACGACTTTCAGGGATGGAAAGCACAGCTAACGCCCAGCAAATTTGCCGAATCGGGGGGAATGCCATGCCGGGGTTGTGCAGCAGCAGGTCTGCCAACACGTCCAGTGACCTCCTACTGTGAGCTTCACGAAGCCCGAACACGGCGTTAGGTTTAACTGTTTGTTTTGAGGGGTCGATGACCCGGGTCGCAACGTATATGACCGCATTGACAAGTGACATGCGGTCTACGTTGTCTAGACTGGCCATCCCTCGGAATGCTGCAATGCGCCGCCAAAATTCCTGAACGGACCCTGTCAGGGTTTCCGAGGTAGACCATGTCATCGAGGACGCCACCAGCTGTAGACGGAGAATATGGGAATAATCGACGATATCGACAGTGTCGTCCCGCAAGTATAAGCCGTCTCCATCTGAGGCCTTCATCGGAAGCATTTTGAGTGCAAAGTCTGCGTTCAGAGACATGGTCTCCTGAGGTTTCTTGTATACACAATGAAGCACATTGTTCTGTGTACGCTCCGTGCCAGGGGGGAGCCGTCCTCTACTTCGACTTCGGTGAGCAGTTGAGCGAGGGCGCGCGACATAGGTGAGTAGGCTTTGGTGTTCGTGCCCGGTAGTAATTTCGACGGCTCTGACTCCGACTTCCCGACCCAGCCTGATAGCCACTGAGTCAGGAAGCGTACGGTGCCTGCAGCGATGAATAGGTCCCTATATCGGATGAGGGAGGAGGATTGGGAGATCTCCTCAGCCAAGATTCGGGCATTCTTGGTTGTTAGGTTCGAACGGAATGATTGTACCATCCGTGCAAGCATCCGTGCATCTACGACGTCGCGCTGTTCCCGTATGTAATTGGATTCGCGAGAGATCGGATCTGTATCCGGCTCCGCATATGCGTGCATCAAGGATTCGTTACGGAAGGTTGCTAAGTGGTGAGCGATCAGTGTCGAGGGGAGCTTGAATGCGCTGGAGCCCAGAAACTGCCGTGAGATACGATCTATCCAGAGGAAGGGGTATGCGACCGTCCAGGAAAGGTACGGTAGCCTGCGGATGGACTTCCCCTGCGTGATGAACTTCCACTGCGTGATGAACTTCCACTGCGTGATGAGCACCGGATCCACAGTTATCCTGTAAGGACACGTCGCTGAGAGATGGGACAGGATATATGTGCCGATATATATGGCGAAGGTCAGACTAACGAACACCGTTGCCACAGCCGCAACAACGGAGTGTGTTGACCATAGGAAGTCGAGTAGTCCAATGAAGAAGAGCAACAGGGATATGTGGAGGAGGATGGGGATCCATTCGAGAGCGGTCGTCAGTTTCCATTTGCGTGCATTATCGAAGCGATATTGGAACTGTCGCCCACGCGCCTCGACCGAGGGGTGCAGGTCTCCGCCAAGACTGGCGAGCCATTGTTTGGCCAGTATTGTGATAAACGCCACCGATACACTGATGACCAGGCTTGCGAACCAAAATGAATTGACGCGGACAGCGTACGCTTGGGGTGCGAAACGTGTCGTGGAGTTGCTGTTTGTCGGTGTAGTCTGATTCTGTCGTAGAACGACGAGTATTTCTTGGAGTACCTCGAAGGAGGCTGCATTTGTGTCGGGGCGAAGTGTGGGATAAGCGAGAGCTACAAAGGCAGTCACAACCGCTGAGAACAGGGTCGCCTAATCCAGAAAGTCAGAATCACGTTGAGTATACGGGGAGAAACTTGACAAACATACAAAGAGTAGAAGGGAGTCCATTTCCTTATTCCACTTATCAACGAACTCGATCCGCCATTCCAGTGCGTGCTTAACGTAGAGCTCCCATACGTCTCGACGCACGCTTGACTACCAGAGGGGGGGCGGTAGCTCGGCGTGAGCTGCATCTCTCTGAAATTCATCAGAATGACTTACATTCGTGGGTACATCGTCGGCACCTTGTTCGCTTGATTGCAAAGGGGTCGAGTCTGTATGCGTCTGATGGCCAGGGGCATGCCTCAACAAACAAATTGGGCGCTCTCAGCATTAGCTATCTTACCGAAGTTCCCTCTTCCATGACCTATGCTGTCGTGCCGTTTGAGTTAATTCTCTTGAATTAAGCTGACAGGAGATGCGGAGGGCGTGTTGAATATATGTTCGGACTCAATTCTGTGCGTCCCCGGGTGTACTGTGTATCAGGTACTCGTAAGCCGAAGGCACCTTAGTACAAAAGCGACCAAGGATTGATACTCACATATAATCCGTAGCACTGGTTGGTTATAGGCAAGACGACAGCAGCGCGGCTTGCAGCCGGTTCAACGTTTAGTGCACGCGGGGTCAAACACGATGAGACGTTCGACATGTGCACTTTTATGCCCTTGCGTGCGTGCGAGTGTGGCCGAGCGTCTGCGCCGCTGTCAAGCGGCATGATGCTCATGCATGAAAGCTGATAGTGTCAGCGCGAACCTTGAGCGGACTGAGGCAAGACCCGACGGTCAAGTGATGCTCAAGAGACACTCACAAATATCGTGACCGACTCTTGCGTAGACTACAGATTATTGGCCTCACACTGTCAATGTCGTGAGCGAGTGTGTCAGATAGACAGAGCGGCATTGACGACTCACATCTACCATGTCATTCAAGTTCCCCGACGTCAAGACAATATGTACGTAGTTTTGTTGTAACGCTATCCCACAGTCCGAAAGAGAGCACTCGCACCGATACTTTCGCACCGCAGCTCCAACTTGAACGTAGATCCGTAGCCATGAATACACCACCCATAGTTGTAGGCTCCCGAGATACTCGGTACGAAATCGTAGGTCTGGTTAGGCTCTATCAATGTGGAGCTCGATTGCCATAAAAGTGTGGAACACGACGCAGTCTGATGGCCTCGCTAGATCGTGTTCCGGTATCTGAACTTGTCCAGCACGTCGCGCAGACAGTCAATGCGCATGCAGGGAAATACCCTCTCAGACTAGTCCAGCTTTCGAAAGCAGGTCAGCAGGCATTATCACGCAGTACAGGCCGAGACGCACCATGTAAGACTGTACGCCCTGCGCTGCGCGACGCGCCAGACGTAGTCACGACGCGTACATTTTCTCAAAGAGGTGCGGGGCCCGTCCGGTTGAGTCGTCGTGCGGGTGCGGATGTGCGCCGCGGCGTCACTGGTAGCGGTTGGTTCTCAGGATGCGATTTGTAGTGCTAAAAGCAGGCGCGAGGGCGAACCTCCGTCGCCCAAGGACAATGCGAACTGGAGGCCTTCGGGCAGAATCTCAAGGGTGACTGTCACGAGTTGGGTTGATGCACAGGCGCAGACTCAAGGTAAGAAAAGATAGACGCACATTATGGTTACTAAATCCCAGTGTGTCTCCAGTGTATCCGTCTGCAACGCGCCATCCGGGCAAGCAAGCGAGGCGCTACAACACGTTCAGTACTCGTATGTAACGCACACCAGTCACACTTCGCACCTAAATTCCGCTTATCAAAGCTTGCTCTCGGGGTTCGGGGCCGAGTTGTCGTAAGTTACTCCCACTACCGGCATTACGGCCCCCCTTCAGAACGTCTCGGAGTGGGCGAGGGTTCGAGCCAAGTTCGAGCCATCACCGTAACGTGGCTACGTACGCCCTATTTGCATGACACACTCGTGTACGCATTTTCAGACTTCGAGAAGGGTGCCTTGATTGTGCACTAACACTGGTTATCCACCATTGCGTCGCTGACAGACTACAGTGGCATCGGCAGTCAACCGTATATGGCCACCGCACCCAGTAAACGCGGCCCATGCAGAATACAGAATAGGGAAAGCCCAAATTGAGCATGCACACGCTAAGACAAAGACGGTAGCATAGGATAGCCCGCGGGGTTGGGCACACTCCGGGGGATAGGCTGGGGAAGACGTAGATATCGTAGAGCTTGTTTAGCGTTCACGTGCGCGCCATCTCAGGCTGTCACCGGCCAAAACATACGCATTGGGCGGAGCGCAGAAAAATGAATGTGCGGCACAGCGAATAATTTGTAGTTCAGTGAACGCACCATGCATCAGTCAATCGCAGTTGAAGCCACCTGATGTTACCGTTCAATCAGAAGACCGCCGTAGACATGCGAAAGTAGACACACCGCTCAGTGCCATTCAGCGCAATGGAACTAAGCAAGGGCGGTGAGCGAGCGAGGACCTGTCGAGCAACGTTTTCTTCGCCGACTACCACAGTCGTTTGAACGTCGCGCCGAACAATGTCCGCCTCTTCCCTTACCTGAGCTTATTTACCCCCCTTCCCTCCACACCCATTATTTGATTTCATGGGGCACAAATCCCTGTGGCCCTGGTGCTTCGTGTCATTTGTGTAGTTTTGCATCCCGACGTCTGCAATGCATGTCATTCAGTGTCGCTCGAGTTTTTCAGACTTTGAGTCTACGAAACGGCTGACGCGGAGGAAGAGAGCCGCTGGAAGCGGCGGCATGAGGCGGCATGATTTTTCAGAACGACGTAATCGGTTCTGTGATTGGAGTGGCTTCGTATACCCTTGTCGTAGGGTAAAGTTTCGGGGGCCCATCTCTGGCAGAAAATCAAATATAGCGCGAGAAGTCTTTCAGCTCGCTGTGGGTAAGAGGGACAGCGGGGACCGAGATGATGGCGTATGGGCAGCGACATCATGGCTCTGCCAGTGACCAAGCACATTGACGATGGGAAGTTAAGCTGAGCAACTCAGCGTTATCGGTCCCTCCATTCAAATTATGACCTGTGATTGGTACCCCACCCCTCGTCAGATGAGATTCAGGATTTTTGATTCGCTTACCAACAATGTATGCGATGCGCCGCCAGCTCCTTGGACGGAGACTTCGCTCGGAATGATGAGCGCCCTCGCAGCATGGTCAGTTGGGGAACTGAGTGCTGGATCCGCCCGTAAATGCGAAAGCATCGTCCATCGCGCTGCTTCTGCGGCCTTTCGGTTATCCGGCATGTCTTCAAAGTCCAACGCTGGACCTGTGTTAAACGCCGTTACTGACTCTCACCGCCGGAGGACGAGCTACACTCACCTGATACGTTGAACGCAATAGTGTAGGCTGCCTCTGGTCGATCTTCATACGGTAGAATGTCCGCGTCCTATCCAGTTCCATACCGATGTCCAGGTGGCCGTGCACTGCCCGTGTCAAGTGGCGTGATATCAAGTCGATGGACTTGTACAGAAGCTAATGAAGGGGAATTAGAAAGGCGAGTGGTACAAACCTCCGGGCAGACTGTCGGAAGACCGACTGAATGCCCCTGAGGTTCACCGTTAGCTATGCCATCAGACCATTTCAAATGCCACGCAGGTGGATAGAGCACTTTCCCCGTCTGCAGCCTCCGAATAGCCAGTATGATGGACGGGAATTCGACCACAAAGCATGGATATTGTGTCAATGTGGTATTTATCGCATTTCCAGGACGGTGAGCGGGCGTGCTTGAGGATGGAGCGTCCGGTCCAAGTCGTGGGTGGTTACCGCATCGACGATCAACATCTGTAGTGACGCCATACTCGCGGCGTTGAGTTTAACCCAAGACGGGGCTGGTCATTCGCGCTATCTGCTGTACGTAAAGGCCAGCATATGTATCATTGAAAAGCGCAGAAAGTCGACGAGGAGGAGGAACAAAACGTCTGCGCCACCGGCCTTCCGGCGCTTATCCCGATCTATTTTTCGATCTCTGTTGTCCCAGCGTTTTCTCACGCCATTGCTCTGCCAGTGCCGCAGTGTCTCGCAGTCATTAGGCGGTTGTGGATATGGAACTATCCAGGCAAAAGCGCAACACGAGCGGTACGTTGTGCCAGTAGTGTGGTACATGCCGCTCAGATTGTGCATACACAGCCCCACGGGCATCCAGCGCACGCGGAACCAGACTGGTTTATCGGGCACACCAGAGGCACCAAACAGTAAGCACACCACATCTTAACGTTTGTTCATGCCATACATCTGAATCGAGCCTCGCCGCTAGCCAGCCATACTGAGCGGCGCATACGCTTTTCCGTCCTCCTCCAGCAGCCTTTGAATTAGCTTCATGCCCTCGAGGACCTTTTCCTCTTGCAGCCTCCGCCCGACGACCTGCACGCCTACCGGCAACCCGTGCATCTTGTCCGCGTCGTACATCTTGTACTGGCCCCGCTCGATGGCGTTTCTTGGTTTGAACGGGCCCAGCGCGTCGCGCAGCCGGTCGACATGAGTGACGGGTAGCACGCCCGCGGAGTAGTCCAGCTTCCCGAAGCGCATCAGCAAACGTGAGTCGCTGCACACTCCGCCACGTACCAGGTTGAACAAGAACGTATACCCGCACGCCTTCCACCCCTCCTTCATGCCCCCGTGCGGGACCGCCGGCAACGAATTCGGCACGGTCAAGATGAAGTCGAGCCCCTGCTCCTTCATGTACGCGTGCCAGCGCTCCCTGTACGCGTCGCGCTGGAAAACGAGCGCACAGTACTCGGCCACGCTCTTCTCCGACCACGCTGCGACGAGGTCGGCGTAGAGCGGGTCGCGGGCGACGTACCGGAGGTACCACGCGTAGAGCGTCTTGAAGAGGCGCGGAGCGCGGAACATTCCGAGCGCGGCGCGCATGGCGGGGTCGTTCGTCTCGCCCGGGCGGATCGGGTTCGTGCAGCGCTTGGCTGGGGGAGGGTCAGTGGGAGGCTTGGACGAGGAGCGTGGACGTACCGCCGTCGGCCATGAGGAGCTGGGAGGCGAGCTTCAGGCCTTCGGCAGGGCTTGGAGGATCGCTGCCATGAACATACGTTAGTGCACGGGTCTTGACAGAGGAGCCGGGACGAACACAGTGACGACTTGGTGCCCGTGCGCCTCCAGCGTCTTCACGACCGTCTGCAGAGCCCGATTGCACGCAGGCGACGGGGCGACGACACCTACAACGAGTATCAGTCACTGATTACCCATAGAATCGACTACCCACCGTCGTCCCACATGACGCCCCACCGGATGCTCTTCTGGCTGGAGAGATCGACCTCGCGCCACGGGAGCGCGAGCACCGAGCTGTCGTACTCCCACGGCTCCATGCTCATCACCGCCCTCCAGAACGTCTCGAGGTCGCCGAGGGTGCGCGCCATCGGGGAGAACGCCACGCCCACGCCCTGTTCGCCGGGCACGCTCGTGTGCGCGTTCCCCGACTTGAGGAACCGGTAGGAGGACGCCTTGATGGTGTACACCCCCGAGTAGTGTCTGCGCGTCGTCCGTCAGCTCCTCGTCCAAGGTCTGCGAAGCGGCCGCTTACGATGGCAAACGGACCGAGCCCGCCCCGTCCGAGCCGACGCCGACCCTCGAGCCACCGAAGGCGATCAGCGCGGCCTCGCCGCCGGACGAGCCACCGGGGACGTAGTTCCTGTTGTGCGGGTTCGTCGTCGCGCCGAAGACGTCGTTCGCGCACTCGAACGAGAGCATCGTGATCGGGACGTTCGTCTTCACGTACGGGACGGCGCCCGCGTCGCGGAGCAGCGTCGCGAGCGCGGAGTCCTGCTGCTTGATGCCCACCCACGCGGAGTAGCCGATGCACGCGTCGACGCCCGCCACGGAGATCTCGTCCTTCAGGCTCACGGGCATGCCCGCGAGGGGCCCCTTCGTGTTGCAAGACTCTGCGGACGACTCTGCCTCCTGGATGAACACCTCGGTCAGGCAGTTCGTCGCGGCGTGCGCCTTCAGGGCGGCCTTGCCGTACGCGGCGAGGACGTCGCGCGGCTTGAGTGCGCCGGTCTGGACACCGGTGACGATCGCGGCGATGGGCTTGGCGAGTACGTCCTTATCGCTCGCAGTCAGCGGCGTGTGGTAGACCGCGGGCAGGCTCTCGATGCGTGCACGACGCTCCTCCTGCTTTGCGTAGCTATGGGAGCGGGGGTCATTGAGACACGTACAGAGAGTATCAGCACTACTCACCAGGCGCGTCGATGGGCGAGGTATGAGAGCATCGTGGACCGTTTGCGTCGTGCGAGGGTGGGATGGTCCACTGGAAGCGTGGCTCACCTCTGACTTGTATCATTCATGGATGCAATGTAGGAGGGACGGCCTCCCATACACGCTTCGGATAAGCGGAGCTGGTCATAGGAGCACTCTCGAGAAGAAGGCAAACCGACGTCGCCGTTACCGCAGAACCTTAAAGCGGAGCTATTTGCGGAATGAGGACATGTCGATGTACGTACATCGGGCCGTCGAGGAGACAGGCGTGGAGAATTACACAGCGCTAGCACACGACATAGCCAGAACGAAGCGCATGTACCAGGAACTGTTGTTCGCCGGCGGCCACCATCCACATGGTAAGGTAGGCGGACACAACTGCAGCAGATTACTGGTTGTTATGTTGATCCTACCGCAGCGTCCTCAACGATTATTTCCCGTGTGGTGAATATAGGGCATTAGTTCGAATACCGGGCTCTACGGATATGTGCGTTGGGTGAATTTGTGAACGCGCGAGCACCTCTTGTTTTAATTATCGATGTCCCTTGAAGACTCGAACATGGCCCATGCAATACGCGACCCGCGACATCCGTCTCGCGAGTCACGCAGCGTGGTCAGTGAGTGGTCAACGATACATAGTGCACGTGGCTAGCACTTGACCCGATGGTACGGATGTGTGAGGAGGAGGAGGAGGGGCTTCCATCCATTTAGTCCTCCCCGACTCCGACCGGAGGGAGAGAGGAGGGCTTTGTCGACCATAAGTCGTTCGCAGCCGGCGATGCCGCTCCCTCCGTGAGAAACACGTGACTCATAATTCCCATAAGCGGTATCGCAGCAATGCTCGAGTGTCTTACGAGGCAGCTCGAGGCGGTTGGATCCTTCCGTGCTTCTGGCTGCGTCTGGACGCCTGGATCTTTGACCATCGAATAAGTCCTCCCAAAGGTAGGAGGGCCTCTATTATGTTGAGAGCCCTCGCATGTACTGTAGTATGTATTACGGTAAGTAAGTTCGCCGTGTGGCTCAGACTCGTGGAAGCCCGAGACGCCCGGGCGGCGAAGCCGCCGCGGGCGTGAGGGCTTCCAATTGAGTCTCCATACCATTCCGATGGTACTTACAATATTAAAATACACACATAATATACTATGGTGCCGCTGTGGCAGGCTGAGTATAATAGCTGTGTGCCATGCAGGAGTCGGGGATCGGTGCTTGCGCCGCTACGATCAAGTATAGGGACGCGCCGCACTCGTGACCGCCGACTGGACACATTGATACTCCGACCATGGTCACAAAGGCACAACTATACGAGTACAGAGGCCGAGATAGCTCAGCTGGGAGAGCAACAGACTGAAGTGAGTGTTAATAGACGACTTCTGGAGGTCGTGGAAGGAAGGTGGGCGATGGCAGGTTGACCGTGGACTGCCAATGCGCACGGGGAGGGCGTACCATCGCGCACGGGGAGGGTGTTCGTTCCACCCTCTTGGCAATCGTTTTGCTTCGCTCCCTGCCGTCGTGGAAGATGAGTTACAACACGAAACAGAAAGCTACGGGCACATCGAATAAATATGCTGTTCTGCGACATCTATCACGTCCCGCCAGGTACCCCGGCCTTGGAGCCTAGATTTTCATTCTCCTCGAGCGGAAGCACATGCCAGGACCACAGGAGCAGAAGTGGCCTGAACATCACGACGGAGGCCGTCATGTCCTCCGGTCTGCTGCTCCCCTGCACTTTCTGAGTCGTCGTGCGCTTCTTCCCCGTCGTCGTGAAACGTGACTGAGCCACCAAGCGCGTCTCCGATCGAAAATCGAATATCAGACACCTCGGACGAGCTTGACTCTGTCTTGGGTACGTCGACCGCATTGCGTAGGTTCAGGAAAAATCGGGACAAGGGAATGCCTGTCAATCTAGCCGAAACGTAGACTCAATAAGTTTGAATAGAAGAGTCAGCGAAGTGGAGCAGCTTACACGGGTTGAAATGCCCCGAAGCCCTTGAAGTTCTGGACATCGGATCGTCAATGTTTAGACCGGAAGACTGTCACAGGAGGCATACCTTCGTGTACATGATCACGACATCCAAGATATCAAATGCAAATATTGTTCTGTTGCAATGCAAAGTGAGACCGGGCAGCAGTCTCTAGTCAGGACGACGGTAAATCCTACCCGAAGAACACGGTACCTGGAACAGATTTAGTTAGATCCACGGCATCATCGAATTTTGGACAGACCATCCACGAGCAATAGGTTGGTGATGCTCGCCTGCTCGCCGATGGAGTCAGCAAACCTCTTCGTTTTGAATGTACGGCGCCAAGTTTCCACGAGCAACAGAAGATGCGCTAGCAATGCTGTGATTACGCTCGCAATGTTGACTTCCACCGCATACATCAGTATCGCATGAATCCTTAGACGAATGGTAAGAGGGCCTACAGCTGAGTCAAATACATTGCTTATTAACATGTTGGCTCGCAAAAATCATAATTAAGGACACGTACTGGAGGTCGGCAAGGTTGTTCGTGTCTTCAGGGAAGCATCCATATGGTGAGTTCATGATACGGAGAGTACCTGTTTCGTACTGCCACACGGCATCAGTAGAGGCGCGTAGACTGTCAAGGGGAATGTACTATATTGCACGCGATCTCTACAAGGAAGAGAGCCACAATAACCGAAGGGATGCGCCAGTCCTTTCCATTGACAGCATACGCGCGTAAAGCCATGATCGCTGCATCATCAGTGAGAACATTATCGCGACATGTCGAAGACAGTCACCTCACCTGTCTCAACAATATCGAATACTGTAGCCATATCAAGGTACACGAACCACAGACCACGTATGCTGCGGTCCAGGCCAGTAAGTTCAGCCACTACGATGGACACCGGAGAGCACATACCTCTAGCAGAAAGACACGTCTGTATGTTAGTCACATTTACGTGAACGAAGGCAGATGGCGCACCGTACACCTCGAGGTAAACGTCGATGCGACCCAAGCCATAGCTGAGCTGAAGATCGAGATGTGCAACAGGACAAAGAGGACGCTTGGGATTGACAGCATTCGGCCTCGCATGAAGTGGACTTGTTGTCCGAGAGTGAGCACGAAGTCAAGACAGTAGATACCTAGTACGAGAGTTCGACGTGAGCGAACATTGGCCAGTCCAAGGCTGGTATCGCGTACACAATGCGGCAATGAAGCAGCAATTCTCAGTAAATCTGACATGGGTCGATGTGTTAGAGAAGGGCAATGACGGGGGTTGCGTTGATACTTACTGAGAGCTAATCAAGGCTTCAAGTTCTTGAACACTCACTGCTTGGGTCAAGGTTGCATTGGCCATGCTCGAGTTGAGCGTGGTGCGGCGCAGGACGGGTTCAGTTGGTGAGCAAAGACAAGCTACGACGTTCTTAAGTAGTGTAGACTATGTGAGATGTAGGTCAACGTCATCCGTTAGCATCGATGGTTACAATATTGAGTACAGGAAGTTGATGGCCCAGGATGGATCGTCGTAGCGAAAAGCGGCGAGCAGATCGATTTCAAACGGGATGGATGGAAGACACCTCACTTGGGCATTGGAATGTGTTCTGGCACTGGGAGGGGGCCCATCGAGGCGATGAAGAAGCACGGGTCGTTACCAGCAATACCGAACCCACGTGTTGGTGCCGATAGATACCCATCATAACCGTTTCGACTCACAGCCACTGTGATACCAAGTCTCGAGTGAACACTCGCGGAACACGACTAATTTCTTTGGCAAGGGTCCTCGATTCCAGTGCCCAACTGCTCATCCGTACAGATGTATAGATGAGCATCACATACAAGCAAGGACGGATCAGCGCATGCTTACCCCTTTAATTCATTTGCGCCGCCGTCTCTAAACATCAAATGATTTGCAAATGCCCCCCTCTGAGAACATCATCCGCCCTCGATGATGAGGTTCCAACTAGAGGCAGCGAGTATCTTCTACTGTAATACACATCTTTCATATAGGCTGGGCTGTTCGCAAGTCAGTGCCAGCGCAGTTCCTCGTCGTCAACTGAAGACAGATGCCAGGATACGTACCTCGGTGAGCGTCCGACCGTTGCACTTCATCGCCGAGCAGTTGCATCATCTCATATACAGTAGACTGGTGTCCGTGGCAAGGAGCTCGAAAAGTCCGACGCCAAGTTTGAAGCCTGATCTTGAAGCCCGGTAAACCCAGAGGCGGTGTGTCAAGGTAGCACCTCGCCATAGCTTCCTTCGTCTATTGCCACTAAGTGAACGTGAGCAGCACTGTTGGGAACACGGGTAAGCCGTCGCATACTCGGCGACTGCCTGCATTTCATCAGCTGTTACCTGCGACAACGAGACCTTGCGCCATTACACATCCATTACAAGTCAGGCTGAGCTCTCTCCGCGAGCAGTCCGTGGGCAACCAAAGGCATCAAGAGTACGGGTGGAGGAGACGCGTTACCAAGCTTCCCGATCTTGCGAGCGAGGACTTGCCTATCAGCGCGAAACACCACCTAACAGCGTAACAGAGTGGCGAGTCGTGAGCTACAGCAGCAAGCGCAGAAAGAGGTACGTACCTCGTCTTGCTCGCATCACCTACGCCTACAAGCACCTTCCGTCGCGAATGCACTGGCAACCGGCGCCATGTCTTCGTTCTTGATCGTCTGACTCTGGTCACAACGGGATGGACCACGAGCGGATCTCAGCATGCCAAATGGAGCTAGTAGGGAGGTGGTGTGTACGCCGAGAGGGCAGGAAAGCGGAGAGGCGAGGCAGGTGCTCTGCGCGTAGACACGATTGGTTGTTCAAGCTCAAGGGTTAAACAGAGCGCAGTCAGAGGCAGCGAGAATGATGCAAAAGGGTTCCAACTGTCCCAGCCAGTATAGGACCATGACCATATCTATGCATTTGCCAACTCCGTGCGATGCATACGGTCAACGGCAACATGCACATTCCCCAGCGAGTACGCCCCAGATTATCAGCTGCTGCGTTTCATATATTCTCCGCGCAGTGACAGAGCTTATGGGCGCACCTACACGCCCGCCCGTTGCGCTCATACAACATGGGTTGCGAAGGGTTTTGCCTCGAATGACAATGTCCTCGCCACGACTGTCAGACGGCGGTCCGTGGCGCTGAATGCGGCGATCAAAGCGATGTGAGGACTCGGAGGCCTAACATCAGAGCTCTTGGACGTGGATATTGATACTTACCACGTATACCACCTGCGGGTGTCACGAGGTATGATGGCTACGAACTCACTGCGAAGTCATGAGCATGCACGCCGAGTTGCGAGGTGGTCTCGAAGTTGTACTCACGGAAGACAGCAATATCACACGATTTAGCGGTCGGACTGCATACAATTGAAGTGTGATCATTTGAGCGTAACGGAAAGGCTCAAGAGGTAACTTAGCAGCCACTGAGTGAGGCCCAAGAAAGAGCAAGAAAGCCGTTCGCGGTTTGGGGGGGACAATATTGTCGCGAGACTCGACAGTGACGCGTCTGTGGCTGCTTTTCGGCAAGCGCCGAGCCCACTTAGATCGGCGTACATAGATCGGCGTTCACCGGCACCGTCACCTTGTAAGTACAGAACAGCAACGGTCCTTCAACTTCAAGGCTTCAGCTTCATACTTCAAGCTCTTAATTTTCCCTACAAGTCACTGCCTATGCTTGGACACTGAACTTCAATGTGCCAATTTGCATGGCTACCGCCAGAAATCATCATTCGCACGTTTCTACCCGTCTCCGGGTCCGACACCTCTAGAAACCCCTCAGCCTCCTCCTCCTCCTCTACTTACTCGCATCGCTTTTCCGAACGCCTTTGTCTCCTTTGAGACTGCATTGGGAGCCGCGAAGACATGAGCGTCACGGGCGAGGTGGGATACAAACCAGTCTTCGAGGAAAGGCACGGGTGGACTGTAAGGTACGTCGACGCACTCGGTTCAATCTGGGCAATGTATCTTCCAGACACTGAAGAGGTCATTCAATCTCATCTAGCATCGCGTTCTTGATGGTGTGCCGCTAGTGAAATCATGCACGCAACCATCCCAGTTTACATCCTGGTACGTCACATAAGTGTGATCTCCGACTCATTCTACCCCACTTTCTCTGTACTCACTGAAACACCCAGGCTTTCTCAGTGATTGCTCCCCTCGGGAACATACGCGTCCTCTTTAACACCTTGCCCAAGTCCGGATGAGCATTGGGTGTGACGAGTCCCAGATGATCGACTCCCTCCATGGCAGCTTCCTCGCGGAGGCCCTGGTCCTTAATACGTTGACCCGTACACGCGCGAATCCGACATCAGGAGCTACATCGTGAGTGATCGCGTTTGTATGTACGCGTGTACTCATATCTCACTCATAGACCCTCCCAGTCCCCTTCCGGGCTCGTAGGACGAACACTGGAATGCCTTTGCCATTGGCCACGCAATTCTGCCAGAGAGGATCGCCCCTACGACTCTCGACCAGAACGAACGCGGGAGGCGGGTATAGGGAGACAGTACAGCGCTAACATTTCCATGGTGGATTGTTTATGAAGTGCGTATCTCTCCGACCGCGATACGAGTTCAGGTACTTACCAGCCATGCTATGCTCTGCATAGTGCATACTCTGCTGCCTCGTTGAGTTCCGTTCTTCCGGATGTTCATTGCCCCGAGTGCAACCACGAAGCGCTACATATGCGCGAGCCATTCTTCAATCTTGTTCAACGACAATGGCTCGCATGTCCGGAAAAGACTCAACCATACTCACTCGAAAAAAGGCCAATCCGTCCAGGTTCAATTGCCGCATTCTCTTATCAGGGGTCCGTACCGCAGACGCCGCAGAGGCCGGTCGTGTATCTAAGCGCTCAATGCCAATGCTAATTAGAGGGTGAGTAGAGCAGCCCGCTTTTGCTTCTGACCATCGAGTCACACCGAGTTACTCACAGATAGCCCCCATCTGATAATTCGGCATCGCGGAAGGACGTCGATCTCGGCGTTCCTTGGAGCCATACAAGTACATACCCTCTGCGCTGTGTTCCCTCGCTCGCACCCCTAGACACGATGGCCAGCGCGGGATACCAGCCTCTCAAGAGCGACGACTCTGCCTTCGACCACCTCCAGCACTCCCCCGCACCACACAGTGTATCGCGCTCCCGTCGCATCGCGATCTCCGTGTGCTTCATCGTCTGCGCGGCGGCACTCTCGCTCCTGTACGCGTTCCCACCCTACTTCGAGCCTGCCGACACCTCCGCCTCCTCCTCGTCTCCGTCTGCAGGTACGCTCCTCGACCATGGCGAGCTGAAGCAGTGCGCCGCGAGCGGCCCGCCCCCCGCCTCGCCCCCTGCGCCCGTCAATCTCTGGGCCTCCCTCACCGTCCCGGAGACGACCGCGATTGCCGACTGGCTCGACGCCCCCTCACGCGCCCTCAACCTCACCCCCGGGACGTCCGCGCACATCTCCGACAACTACATCTACCACATCGGCGCATGGCGGCCCGCCAAGGCCGACGCGCTCGCATACCTCGCGGACCCGGAGGGCACCGCGCCCCCGACCGCTACGCGCGGGTAACGGTCCACCACGGCGCGGCGGAGGTCCCGAAGGTGCAGGACTACCTGGTGGGCCCACTGCCGGTGAGCAGCGAGACGGGCATGCGCCCGTTGACGGAGGTCTACCACCGGCCAGAGGTGCCGTACAACGCGCGGGGGTACACGACCCTCGCGGAGATCCAGCCGATCCTGATCGACGTGATGCCCAAGATGGCGGAGGCGACTCAGGTGCGTGCGCTCGCTGTTCCATGGTCTTCGTGTTTGACGGAGGCGTGTGCAGGAATTGTTCGGTGGAGT